CTTTTTAGGATGTGAATGCTGATGGCAACACGAAGCATTCATAGCCTAGTAGATTATAATGTTTCGTGTTGTATTTCATATAGATAATTTATCAAAATCTTCTTCTTTTACTGTTAGAGATAAGTAACCTCTCGAGCTGTATTTATTAACTTCATATCTATTGAATTAACAATATTAATCATGCAACTACATCAACGTTTTAAGGCCAAGAGTATGAAAACGTTGAGTTCATTAAACTGAACAAAATACAATAGTTGAAATTTGTTTTTGACACCGAAACATGAAGATGTCGGCCATTCGAGGCCAGTTTCTGCGAATGTTAAAATATTTTGTTTCCATTATCGTATTTGCGCAAAGATTTCCCTGTGGGCCCTTCTAGAGTGAGAGTGGACAACAACGGAAACTATCCATATATTCTGTGATTCTAAGTAGGATCAGTTTTCGCTAAATTTTAGATGAAGAACGGTATACCACCGATACATTATAACGGCAGGATCCGACTAAATACAATTCTGCTATAACCTAACAGTTTATGTGAGGCTAATGATTACTCTAAGCATTCGTCGTTATTTTAGATAATTCCACTGTTATATACATGACAAATGAGCACAGTTCGAGAGAGCATTAAGTTAAGTTGGATTTTCCGCCAAAACCAACTTAATGCTTAAGTAGGTATTTTCTGGTTTTCTTCGTAAGAACAGAACACAAGTTGTAGCATGCATATTTTCTTCATATATCGCTGTACAGTTTATCAATAGTAATCCTTGAATAAAGAAAAAACATTTCTTATTCCCTTGACTGTAAAGGAAAGGGTCTTATCGAGTTAAAATGCCTGTATGTTTGTATGTTCGCAGACTAGACTAGCGACACACAAACTAGTAGAGCAAAACTTGATTGGGTGAAAATTATATGGATTAGGTAATCGACTAAGGAGAATCAGAAAATGCGTATGAGTGACTTCTGCGAACAGTTCTATTGGTCGAAATGTGCATCTGAACTTCGTTGAATGAAAATGATGTACAACAGGCGATGTATATGGCACCGGAAAACATCAGTGTGACTGTCTGTGTGTACTCCTGTGTGACGGGAGTACACACAGACGTTTGAACACTGTGTGACGGACATGGATGTACACATAGTATGGATAGTCCTCTAGCGAACACCTACCGAAGGGAGGTGTAAGTGTTGTCTTTGATTCGAAGTCATCGAGGATCGTTCATACACTGTAAATTCGATTCGCAGAAAAGTACATGATTTACCAGGGAGTTTTCGTCATTGTTCATAGCATCATGTGGAAAAGCCAATGAAAATTTTTTACTTCATTGGATAAAGTCCGTGAATGTATCTGTCAGGAAGTTTACTCAGTAATTATAATGGAGAAAAACAGAATTTTATATTGATTCTGGTTCGCTTCTTGCTCTTGTTCTGTATTTTTTATGTAATATGATAGCACAGAATGACAAAAACGGTTGACAAAAGTTATTGCATTCAGTCCGTTTCGAATTTGATCGTCTATCTATTTTGACCAAGTTCATGCATATTAATAATGGCTTCGATGTACTTGTTATCCATTGTTTATTTTTTCCATGGCTATTCCATTGAACTAGATAAGTATTGTGTACATCTTATCCGTCTTTTTATTACAAGCTGGTGCTTTGTGGATGCTTTTCTTTTATCTAGAGATGTTAATTTCGCTGAAAATGGTATGCATGCATCTGTGGATTATTATATAGTTAATGATCAATGTGAATGAATTTATGGTGACCGTCAAATTGTTTCGCCTCTCGAAGCTTTTTCTGAAGGTGTAACTCAGTGTTTTATGTTTCTAAGTTAATAGATTATTATATAGTTAATGATCAATGTGAATGAATTTATGGTGACCGTCAAATTGTTTCGCCTCTCGAAGCTTTTTCTGAAGGTGTAACTCAGTGTTTTATGTTTTTAAGTTAATATACTTTAGATATCTGGAATCAACGTAACGGACTTTGTTTGTCCGTCATGCACAAATTGGTCAACACCTTATCTGAAAACATTTGTTAATCATTTAAAAAATACTCATGACACCAATAAAAATATTACTATTATGTGTAATTTATGCAATTCTGTATCTTCGAACGCAAGAGCGTTTTCGCAACGTGTTAGTAAATATCATAGAACGCAGGATAAAGCCGTAAAGGAAGATGATGAACTTCAAATATTAGAAGAAAGCATCGAACAAACGCAACCTGTGATAATTAATACAAGTATGAATGATGATGACTATATGGTCACTGAAGAAGAAACATCTGAGGAACAACTACCAACAACATTAACTGAAATGAACTCATTTATTAAACGAATTTCACATTTTCTACTGACACTTCAATCTTGTTTTTATATATCTGAGGCTGCTATTAGATATGTGGCAACAAATTTAGCTGATCTACTAGAATGGTTGTTAGTTCACCCAGATGTAAGCTAGTGATCTCATTTTTTCTGATACATAATCAGCAAATTAGCGTTCTCACATAGTAATATATTTTTAGATTTCTCGCCAAGCGCTTAAAAACCGACGTTTTTAAAAATCGAACTTAATTGTGGCAAATATCATTCTGATTCAGGAAAATCTTTGCTGAGACACCTTTGGCTATGTTTAGATGATTTGAATACCACTAATGCTGTTTCTCACAAAATACACAAAAAATTTTTTCGTGTATTAATCTCTGTTAGGTTTAAATCGTGATCATCGATTCGGCCAAGTAGCGAAACGACTGGTGGCTGTTTGTGATTCAAAAGCTCTAAAGCATGAGCTATTAGATCGTGTTTTAAGTACATAAATTTTTAAAAAACTTTCTAGAAAACCGATCACCAAAAGTTGCCCAACTCCGTTTGTTTAGTTTTTCATTCTCTATCGAATGATGAATTTCTGAAGCTCCCAGCACTTATCTGAGCAGAGTTATTTCAAATTTTAAAAAAGCTAAATTTTTAAAATTTAAAACCTGCATTTAAAAGGAGTAGTCCGCATAAGACTTGAAATCGGCCCACTAAACTATTGTTATTTTATTGCCTCAAAGTATCCACAATTCATCAAACTTATCTTATTCAGTGCTTTCAACTTTATCAGACAATTCCATTTTCAAGAGAAATGTACAATTAAAATGTTTAAATGTACAACTACACTATTGTATCAATATATATAAAAAGTTTTGACTGAGAGTAGAGAAAATTCAGTATGCTCTTTTGACGTATACTTATTCCGATTATTGACTCTAAAGTCTTCTAATTGTGCTTTTTTAAGCTGTATATGATATTGATATTGTAGTTTTCTGAAAACAGAGCTCGTTTCTGTCTAGTAACTGTTCCGTAACTAGGTTTACAAGCCAGTTCACAATGACTGAATCTCGCTAATATTTTTATCCTGTAGCGAGAGATTATTCGGCGCAGCAAGCCATCCATGGACGTAAAGAGTCGGTGGCGGCAAAACGATTTTGCCCATGTTGTGATATTACCTCGGATAATTTTGTCGACTTCATCGATCAGGTATGGAAAATACGATGTTTTGTGCTCGACGAAGCCGGCTTTTATCTGTTGCTGTTTTAGATTGTCAATGTAGTTTCATTAGACGATTACAATTCTGCATGCACAATTATTGAAGATATGCAAAAGAACAACAACCGGTTTTACGAATTTTGGCAAACACATTATGGAATCAATAACAGAAGCATATTTTCAGCAGCGTTGTTCTGCAAGTTCTTTTTGATCCGATGCATGTTTTATTACAAGGTAATTGCTTGAGAGTGCTTCTTTCTGCTAGTTTACTGCTTTTTTATTATTTATGTATTTACAAATTCCATCTTAATTCATTTCTATCGTACTGTGTGCAACAAAACTATTATACCTTGGCTATGTTCTGCAAAACCGTCATCGAATTTGAATATAATGTAGGAGAAACTGCTTCTAACGAGGGAACCGCCCCAGGTGCCCAACTCCGAGTTCCTTCATTCATACCGCCTTTTATAGAGCACATCGAGCTGTAAAAAGCCTAAAAGGATTTTTGCCCATGGCTCTTGAAGTCTCGGTTTTCTGCAAACCAGTTTTTGAGAAATTCTAAAAAGTAATCAAAACCTTTCATAATGAGGCATAATTATAGCCCGCGCATTTCTGACTAAAATGAGACGTCTCCCAGCTGTACACGACCTTTCTTTACAAAGTTACAGAATTTACAAGAAAAGCCCTTTAAATGTTCATTGTCAGCTCAAAGCTGCAGAAATAAGAAATTAATTTAGGACTTTTGTAAATTCTGTAACTTTGTAAAGAAAGACCGTGTACAGCTGGGAGACGTCTCATTTTGATCAGAAATGTGCGGGCTACAATCATGCAGCATTAAAAACAGGTTTTGATTACTTTTTAGAATTTCTCAAATACTGGTTTTGCAGAAAACCGAGACTTCAAGAGCCATGGGCAAAAATCCTTTTAGGCATTTTACCAGCTCGATGTGCTCTATAAAAGGCGGTATGAATGAAGGAACTCGGAGTTAAGGCGGTAAAAATGCACAAAGCAAAATTTAAACATCTCGATCTGTTTTTACAATGTACACCGAATCTTGAATATTTAAAATTTGATTGTTTTATAACAGACAAATTTAATCATTCGTTTATGAATGCTCAAACATGATTTCAACTTTTATCACCATGGAAATACTTATAATTATTAAGAATATCTATCCAATTGAAAAACAGCATAGCTAATTTTCGGCGGTCGTTTCAATGAAATTCAACAAACATTTAAATCAATTCCATTTTTAGTTGAATGACATTTATGTCCCGAATATTCAGTTTCAGGTTGGAACAATCGACGAATTCATTTCAATGCACATTATCGGAGAAAATAAACAAAAGAACGAAACGGTTAACTCCGTTCTTGTTCGTTTATTTTAATTGAAGATAAGCTACTTTTACTTTTCTTAATTCTATCACTTTGTTTTATTTTTCTGACGCTTCAGAGGTCATCAGTGTCAATCACTAGACCAAACTTTGGAAATTTATGTTTGACAATTATTTTGATTTATTTGAATATATCAATTTTCGTGAATTATTTTACTCATTTTTCGGGGGCGGTTCCCTCGTAAACCACATTTGAATTTAAAGCAAGAAGACTTAGCAGGCAGCGGTATTCACTAGATCTTATTTCTCAAATGATACAAATAATTTTATTACTCGTTTAGGTTTGCCTCTTGACGAGTAATACCATCTTATTCAAGTATACCATCTGTTTATTAATTTGCCTTATATATTAAAAATTCTATTACATAACTCAACGTTTCTGGCTCTAGACTGTGTGTTCTTGTTGGTTGATATTGTTAGTTTAGTTTATACCTCTGAAGCTGATGACATTACCGTCGATCAGTTGCAAGAATGCATCTTACAACATAATCGACTTTACAAGAAACATTATCCAAAATAGTCTAAAACCAAAGTTTCATTTCATGCTTCATGCTCCGCAATAGATGAGACGTTTTAGACCTCAAAAATACACACAATGCAATTTGTGCGCAAATTTTCGAAGGCTTAATTAAGTTTCGGTTAGTTATCAGCATTAACTGTGTTGTATTTTGCTTTGCTTGAGGTTTTAAGCATCGTTGTTTCAAAAATTTGCCTTTTACTTGCGCTAAGCGACATCAAACTTGGGAGTATTCAAAGGATTACAATGCCGATGGTACATTGTCAACGAACATCTTCAAGCATAATATAATGCTACAGTACGTAACAACAATTCCTGATGGATTGATCCTGAATATTAACCAACTGCTACTACCGTCACCATCCACAAGTACAGTACAAATTGCCAAAATCGACTCAATAAGTTATACAGTGGGGACGATATTATGTGTATCCAGCGTCTATTGATCATTTAGACCGTAATTTGTTCAAATAAAAAATATTCTGCTTATTGGCCATCAACCAATTTTTATGGTACAATATGTTAAAGTTATTAAATACGATCCACATGTGAAAACATTTGAAGTTAAAATGAAACAGGAACTCGGAACTGTATCTGAACAAGATCTAAAGTATGTGTGGCCTCTTAAATTGATTGAGATTAACCACGTAAAGTATGTTGCTTTGCGACCGTATGGAAGATTCTTTATTTGAAATGAATGTTTTATGTCATATTTGATTTATTCATGTGTTGTCTTTCTGATATGTGTAAACTTGTCAATGTTGTCATTCTTTTCTTCACACGTGTTTAGCCTGTTCTGGCATTTATTGAAATAAAAATCTTATATGTCGGAGTGTTTTGTAATTTTTATCGGTCAAAGTCTTCTTATATTTTTTTCTACTTTCAAATCATGTTTAAACACACATGCTGCCAGTGTCCGGATACGAATCATTGTATTAGTTACATTAATGATGATAGCAGTAACAATCAGTGTCTGTGTGGACATTAAAAAAAATAAGCATCTGTTTGCTAAATCGGAGTCTGATATGCTTAGTACTTACTACAGGTGATGTTTTCGATGCTTTTAGATTTATCTTGCATGTCAGCAACAATGTCACCAACAACCTTTAATATCTCTCCTCTTCCTTTTATAAAATTATCTTCGTCAACACCACAAATTCTCTCCAATCCAACTCTATCACCATCGACGGAACCAGTCAGTCCATCATATCCGTCCGAGTTATTAGAAAGTGATCAACATTCATCTTCTATTGCTTGCCCATTATCGACAGTAGCCAACACCGTTAAGACCACGCAAAAATAGAATTAAATCAAAAATCCAGGAATCTAATGTTCATGTACCCTCGACATGTCAATTACCAGTCTATACGGAGACTGTTGAACAAGCTTTATTAGGAGCTATACGTGTGTTTTAAGCGTCAGACTGGAAGTAAATTTTAATTTCTAACGTTCTTATTCGTAGGAAAATTTGAACAAGCTTCCAGAAAATTTTTCCATGAAACAAGAGACGCCATGCTATCTAGATATCCAACTATCAGTAGTCAGATTGATTACAAAAGTGTTAGCCTTGCTATTGTACGTCAATATCCAAATATAGCAAAGAAGGATGGTTTTAAATTAGTAAGAGTTTCACCTATTTTCTGATAAAAAGTTATTCTCTGTTCACGTTTTAGACTGACATATCGTCGTGATTAGCTGAATGCATCAGTAATTTTTGACAAGAGGTGAAACGTAAACAAGGATTACTGACAAAACGAAAGAAAAAACAAAGAAAAGCAAGTGCGGTTATTGATATCAAAGAAGTAAAGAAAATTGGAAGTTATGAAACAGATACTGACGAGGTAAATATACCATGTGTTAAATACAGCTGTACCATGTTTCTGGAATGTTTAGGAAAATGAGAATTTAGTTGTAAAGCGTGCTCGTGTTAAAGAAAGCCCAGTGAATGACAATGTAAACCGTGTTTTAAATGGAATCTCAATAAATCTGAGTGCATATCACTTTCTAGAAGTTTAATCGTGGTAGCAGCAATCACGTGAATTCGTCACAGCTAATGGAAATCACGTAGATGATAATATAGATGTTGATACATTCAGAACACTACCAGCTCACTATGTGCATCAGCCTTTTTCTTTCTTATCTATGAGGTTAAATAAAGTGTTTCTCTGTAAGCTTATTTCATATTGCACCAACTTCGCGAACTAACGTTACAGTAATTAGAATAGACCCATTTCCATCTTTTATACTAGTTTAAAGTGCACGAGTTGTACACTATGCTGGTCTATTTTTTAGAAAAGGATCCCTTTTAGCCTTTGAGAAATATGACTGTGAATATGGTTAATTATTGTTTAAAAAAGCAAGTTTTTCCGTGCGCGACTTCCAGAGACTTGTTTTGTTTGTCTCGAAACTTGCTTTTTTAAACAATAATTAACCATATTCACAGTCATATTTCTCAAAGGCTAAAAGAATTTATAAATAAATAAAATAAATTTCTTTCCTCCCTCTCAACGTTTTTTCAAGGGGGGTTCGGAGAAACTAGTTCTAGAGCAGGGGATTTACTTTCTTCAATAAAGCAATGTAGTCATCTATTTTCATCTTCAGTTTACTTCCATATACGATTCATCGAGTTCTATGCCATCTAACTATGTTTCATAAGATAAAAAATAGAAAGTTTTTTTATCTTTTCATTCTGTCTATATTTTGTTAGCGTTACAAATTAAAAATAGTTTAAGATGGAACACTTTACTGTTGTTAAGTGAAGTAAAGAACTTTTTTTCTGTTCGTTTCTCTCTCTCCATGTCGCACTGATATAAGACACCTAGAGATGGACCGTAACAAGTTGAACAGAACGAATACGTTTTTAATGTGCAGTATACGAAGCGCCAGCGATGAATATTCTCATTTACGTTCTTTTCATTCACCTATTATGTCTCATTACGAACAATCGACTATTCATATAACTTAGTGGTTTTTGCTTTCATTCGGAAAAACAAACTATATTGTCACTGATTTATGAATAAGTATAGACGAAAGTATCATGAATAAGACAAATATGTGATATAGCTGCTTTCGACTAAACGTAATAATGAGCTTCTTACATAAGAAGTTCCCTTCTCATTGACTCTTACGTTTCTTCGTTCAAAAGGGATAAGAGAAAACTACAGTTAGGTTCATTACGTGTGAAGTATCTTACGGACGTGTGAGCGAGCTCTTTTCTCCTTCTTTTCTGACATGTATTCATACACTCATAATTCGAATATTCTTTACTCGTACATAAATGAAACATACTTTGCTATAATAAATAACGAATAATCTTTCATTCCGTTCTTTCGAAGCTTACGTAATACGGCCCATCTCTAGATACACCTGAAAAGAAGATGACTTAATTTTATCCAAAAATTGTACCATATGGTAATTCTACCAAATTTTCTATTTCCTGTTTAATTTTTTCGCTCGACCAGATAAGATAGATAAAATATGATTATTCCGAAAAAAACATGGAAGTGATCCCGTTTACAAAATTCTGAAGAAAAATACATCGAGACTCGAAAAACTGCAGTTTATTGTAGAAATAATCTGTACAATTAAAAGTAGACAAACCCATTTTACATCTTTCCATCAATTTGATTACGAACAGAGGACAGGCAAAAAAAGACAAGTAGAGACGATACACAACCACAACATAAAAAAGAGATAATGACAACAATAGACGAAAATTGATTTTTATAACAACATTGTACGTTGCAAAAAAATCAGTACTGCATTCCGTATGAGTTAACAGAGCTTTTAATTCATTTTCTTTGTTGTGCGTCATCACCACCAAACGTATTTATACATTTCACTTCCTTTGATTTTGGACGATTACATTTATTTGTATTACAACATTTCAACTGCTGATATATGCTCGGCACCTGTTTCATTTCATTACACACATCGTCTGTTGTTATCATGTAGGCCCATTGAACTGTCTTCCGATCTTTTTCAGCCTGTGTACAAGCTGTATCATCTGATGTACATGCAAATTTAAACTGTGCACAACGACACTTTGTTGAATCTGTTGTACCACAACCATTTTCAATTTTACTGAAATCCGTTAATATACACTGTTTATCAGTACCCGTATAACATTCTAATGCAAATATTGTCAATGGTAGTACAAGACAGTACATGACAAAGATGACAACAACAGGTTTTGAGGTTGATGTTGACATGGTTCAATTTTTTATTTAATTTGGATAACTTGCAAATCAACGAGAGTTCGAAGTTCCGAAGTAATATATTTTCAATAGAATAATATTAATACCAAATAACAAGTAGTGTGAAACAAGAAAGGCTCTAACAACGCACTAACATGCTTGAATGTGTGTGTTCCTTCTGTTTAAATACGTTTCAATCGAACGAAATAAAATGAATACGTAGGACCCAATAATTCGTCAATTAATGCTGACCAATGTGTCTGTAGATGATGAATAAATAGAAAAAAATGGACACAGGAAAAACACAGAAAAGAGGTGTCAACAGCAGTTCATTGCATATCGTTTTCTTTCTTAAGTATATTTTTCTTTTCTGTCTCGTGCTTTTATACTGTACATACATACAGACTATTTTTTCTTTTAGGAGTTGGACACATTTGGCATTCACTTTGGTCTAGCCAGATATATCGCGTCGTCCTGTCCTTATTTTCGTTTCATTTGTAGTTTTTGTTCACTTTCTTATGTTATAATAAAATACAAACAAAACTACAAGGTTGCCCAGGTCACAGAGAATGAGAGATAAATGTCGTACATGATATTCCACAAATCTGATCGTATTGGAGTCCTAAAACGACTTAATTATGACGTAGAAATGATGTTATATTAGGGTGTTTTTGAAACCATTTCAAGAAATGATATAAAAATCATGTAAATATGATCGTAATCGGGGATTCCAGATCTTCTGATTTTGGCAGAAAAATTCTTATTTTTGGAATATTTTGTGCCTCGTTTCTTCTCTTTTTTGCCCTAAGGTCTAGTGACTTTCTCAATTTTTTCTGATTTTGCACTTCTATTTTCGTGTTTTGGATCTGGGATCCCTGATCGTAATATGAACATACAGAAATTACGTATTTATAAATCATTTTAATAGCACATACGTATGATCCTATCCTATCCTATCCTTCATATGCCCTTTTTACATCATTTTTGTTACAACATAAAAATGATCATTGTCAAGTACCACTGAATAAAAAATCCTGACGGCAGATCTTGATAAAAACTTAAAAGTTTTCTTAAGTTTCTGTTCAGTTCGTTCAAGATCTTATGCAGATTTAGCGATATCTGACAAGACTCGGAGATCATCCTGCAGCTCAAGATTGTGGACAAGTTTCGTTGTAGAACGGAAAACTTTGATGAAAAAGATCTTGATTAAGATATGTAACTGATTCAAATCAGAGCTGATCACCTCCATTGTTATTCCAATTCCTTCAGGGAAGAAGATTTTACCTGCATTCACTGCAAACACAGACGTTTTTGTGTGGAGAACAAAACGAGAGAGAAGACAAAAGAGAAATATTAATCATACTGAAGATCAGAATGATTGCTTAACGAAAAGAAACTAACGTTTTTTTTTCCACTAGATATTTTAAGATGAAGGAGAGGAACGTTTTAACCCTAATCACTTATATCATTTGCTCTGATATAATGGGCTAGATCGCATCTGTGTAGAACGACTATTCTTATTTCTCTTTCTTAAATGAGTAACGTTTAAACTAAACTAAACGAAAAATATAGAATAAAGAAAAACAATGAACTTCGCTCTTATTGTATGTAATATGTTTCTTTTACTATGCACACTACATAGTATGTCAAGGATGACAAAAGACTATAACGATAAGAAAAAGAGAAAAATATAGAACTAGGATAGTGAACCGTAACTGGTGATATATTCTATAGTTTTCAGTGTGTAATACAGACTGTTAGTGTTCAGTAGGAAAAACAATTGCTATACCTCATCTTAGGGTGCACCTGCAGAACAGTACAGAAGTTTTCACCCTCAATATATGATATGATGAGCCGTAAAACTATTAATGTTCAAACATATAACTCGAGTCGTCATGAATGACTTTTTTTCCCAAGTATCAATTGGTGAAGGGGATCTGGCATGTTGATTATTTGCTGACGAACTCGTTGAGACGTTATCATTGTTATTATTGGCTGAAATCGAGATTGAATCGTATAATTGTTGTAGTAATGGAATATCGCTTGGATCAGCATTTTTGCTAAATAATGTAAACAATTGTGTGTACAAACGAGGTCAGAAGACATTGACAGTTTACGACCGCTAATTCTAATGCTTGATGATTTAAGAAATTTTGATGCAAAGAAGATTTTATTTGATTAATTTCAATTGTAACCGACTCTAGCGATTTTGAGATATCATTTAAAGTATTCAGTAGGTTTGTTTCATTGGTTGTTAAGATAGAGGGTGGTAGTGCAACAGTGGTAGTTTGTTGGTTTGACTGAGGAGGATGTTGTTGAGAGTTTTGTGAGGAAAAATGTGGTGGTGCAACGGATAACGTCTCTGCATATGACTTTGCTTTTATATTGTTTATGTATTATAAACGCACTTTGCATCCGGGATAGGAGGCTTTGTGAGCATCTCCACAATTTGGATAGTTCAGAGTTGTATTTGTACAATTATCTAGTCCGTGGTTACCACTACATTTTCCACATTTTATTTGATTATTACATTCGTTTGCGTGATGTCCGAGCTGTTGACATTTGAAACACCGGATTATTTTTACTGGTGGAATATATTCAATTACAGGGTAAGCGAACGGTGTAACAATTAACTTTCGTTTCTGTAAGAGATCGTCACGAACAGTTTCATTTGAAAAATCGATTCGGAGAAGGGATGTTGGAGTGTTTTGTGCAGCATTTTTAATTCGTGATACAGCGGCAACCTCGGGTACAATATCTCGGATATCTGTTGTAAGAACGATTTCATTTATAGATGAATCAACATTTTTCAATACACAGCTAAACGTTTTTTGGATAAATTTCGCAGTACGTGATGTGTAAGTGAAACTATCACCAAATAAATTTAAGGGAAGGTTAATCAAAAGATACTGTTGTGCTGCATCATCTTGTGGGAATAAAAGTAAGTCTTTCTTTGAGTTAAAACGACACGTAGTTGAACATTTATGAATATTTTCCAGATCAATTACTTTTGTTCGTATTTCATTCGGACCGGGAGTATTTCCAGTGAATGATAAAATAAACGGTGGAAACGGCTCGGGCGTAAACGCGACTCGTCGTTTCATCATTTTTGACGACGGAGACGATGATGAGTAAGGCCTTTTGTTGTTGTTGTTAGAAATTGCGAGAGATGTTTGCCCTTGTTGCTGTTGACTTTTTGTTGAGTGAATACCATTGCTTTGAGATATCATCGAAAAACCAATTTGGATCGTTATTTTTTCTCTGTGCAGAAACATTTTGAACCGTGTGAACCTCATTCTGAGAAACAGTACCAGTGTTAGAGTGATGACCCATTTGCCTGTATGTATACGTTTTACTAGGCTATACACACACACAAAGGAGAAAAGCATCGAGCAAGGAATACAGACAGTATATACGTCCTTCCTGTACAAGTAAAAAAAACAGACTGCTAGTGTTCAGTAGGAAAAAAAGTTGTTATACCTCATCTTAGGGTGCACCTGCAGAGGAGTGCAGAACTTTTCACCCTCAACCTCTGCCTGTGGAAAACAAAAGAGGTTTTTGCAAACCTGCAAACTGCAACTTGGAACTTCAATTGGAATGAAGTGTCTCTTTTCCCCCCCATACAGACCAGCGGAGTGTCTGTTCGCATTTTGAAGCTGGTTGAAAATCGGTCATAGATTTCTAGAAGATTTTTACATCAACGTGCAGAAAAATGTTCGCTCTACCATCATGTTCAACGGCAAGTTTTTTCGACCAAAACTGACTGATACTTTTCTTATAGACATAGTTTTACATGTTCTTAACTATTCACATCATATATCAATTTAATTTACTCTCCGTGCTCTATTTTAGGGCGAGCACTAATGCCTTTTACAAATAAATCAACAACAATTCAATTTGATCTAAAGCTAAATTATATGTTTTCTCTAGCGAACAAAATGAAAGTGATTAAATTTTATCGTTTAGACCAAGTGTTGATTTACTTTTGCAGAGGAAAATATCGTTTATAATGAGTTTATTGCAATATCGCTGAGCTTAACCAGTTAAATAAAAATTAATCAGGGAGTGTCCATTTCTAGTTTCTATCCATCTGAAAGAGATAATGTTCGACAACGTGTCAAACTATTTTTTAGTAATAGGACCTCTCTGGGTTTTGAGATAGAGGGTAGGATGCCCGATATCATTGCTTAGCCTGATATCGGTCAACTACACAAAAACTTATTTGAATTTCAGAATGTAAGAAAAAGTTCAAGTTAGTTATGGTTTACAAGATGTATGTTTGATTAATTAAATGCGTATGTTAGTAATATCGCAGAAAGGCTTTTCTATCAAACATACTTTAAAGGATGGGAGCTTATAAAGGTCAAAATTTTCCCTTGATATTTCTGAACAAGAGTTGCATATTCAGAATCAGCCTGAAATTCTGCGTCGAATGAGGTATATGGCACCTTGAGAAAGTCATTTTCAATTTTTCGGAAAGTTTGTAGTCCCTATCCCACCTCTGAAACATAGAAAAACGTTTTTACTCAGAATTTTTCTACAGATACTTTATTCGATGGAGAATTTGATGCTGATCGTGCATATCAGGTTAAAACTGAAAAACAGATCGAAAAAAAATCGATTTTACTGACAGATGGCGTCAGCGACCTAGTTCATTAAAAACAGGTTTCTTTCCCTTGGTATGGAAACCACCTAGATATACTCAAAAATGTCCCAACTTTCCGATAAGGAACAGAAATCCGCTTCAAACTACTGTTTTCAGGTCAAAAAAGCCACTTGAGTTCAAAAATTCGTGAAAAACCTGTTATTCGGCCTGGTCATTTGACTGTTGCGCCAATAGGATAAGAAGTAACATTACCAGAAGAACATAGATGTATGCAGTTTTCAATGCTCTATCAAATAATAGTAAAATGTGTTTTCAAAAGTTTAACCGTTTTGGGAAAATCCGGTTTTTCCAACTAAGATTTCGCAGAAAACCTTACAAAATCCGGTTTTGACCTGAAAACAGTAGTTTGAAGCG